AATTGAAGGCTATAGGTAAAACTTTGCATGCACGGGTCTCCAACTTTATTATTGATAGGAATTGGATTTGTCCTGCCTCTCTCCGTGATAGTTTACATCTCATTTGGGATCAAATTTGTTCTATTTGTTTGCCCAAGACTACTGAAATTGATGATACTTTGATTTGGACTGATTCTTCTAATGGTCATCTCACGCTTTCTCGTGACTATGATATTAGACAAAGCAAGCAACCGTTAGTGGTTTGGGACCGTTGGGTATGGAATACTTGTTTTCGTCCTGGAAATTCTCTTTTTCTATGGAAATTCATGCATGGGAAAATTGTTACAGATTCTTTATTATAGGATAGAGGCTTTGCTCTTCCCTCCATGTGTTCCCTTTGTTGCTCACATGTGGAAATTCCGAGACATTTGTTTTTTGAATGTTCCTTCTCACGTCAAGTTTGGTCTTAATGTTTAAATTGGTTCGGGATGATCTCTCCTTTTGATGATAGTATGAGATTCTTCACTTATCCTATTCGCAAATGCTATGACTCTCAGATTCAACTTCTATGATGGGGCTTAATTGGAGCTTGTTTATGTTGTCTTTGGACATCACGTAATAAGCTTCGATTTGATGATATTCAACCATCCATTACTGCTATTGTTCGCTCAATTAATTGTCAACTTCTTGAAATTGATTCGCTAGCAAGGGAAACATGAAAAATTATGTGGACGAACTTTGCATTCTTCGCGCTATTGGTTTGTTTTGGTCGTTCTGCCAAGTCACCTCGTGTTATTGAAGTTATATGGAAACCACCTTCTCACATTAGGTCAAGGTGAATTACGATGGTGCAGCTCGTGGATCACCAGAATTGGCTGGTACTAGCGGTATCTTTCAGGATCATTTTGGTTCATGCTTAGGGTGTTTTGCTACTTCTTTAGGGGTGGGTACCTCTTTTGAAGCTGAATTGCATGCTGTAATTCATGCAGTAAACTTGGTTTGGGAGAAGGGTTGAAGTTCCCTTTAGATTGATTGTGATTCATCATTGGCTGTTCTTTTCATTTCTGCTTCTCATAATCTTATTCCCTGGTATTTGAGGGTTCATTGGTTGAATTGTCGAGCGTTGCTCTGTGCTATATGCATAAGAGTTACACATATTTTTTGCGAAGGGAATCAGGTGGCTAACTGTTCGGCAAATTTTGGACTGGGTCATCTTGGGGTTTATTGGTGGAATTATTGTCCTCCTTGTGCCATTGACGCGTATCATCGTAATCTTTCTCTTCACCTATATTTTCAATTTTGTTAGGATGAGTTTGACATTGTTTTTTGGACACTAGGTTTTCTTGCTTCAAGTAGTTTTCTACTTCTTGTTAAGGTTTGGCTTCAAAAAGTTATTTTAGCAGGTATTGGCCTAGTTCCCCCCGCTTGTATTACTTTTCCTTTTTTCTTCATATTATTAATAAAATCTAGTAGAGAGGGAACGGGCAGGAGCAGGGGCGGGGGTGGGGGCGGGTGTTTCTGGGTGCAATGGTCCTTCCTCCTTCGCACACAACTTTTGACAAAGAGTTAATCTCGCCTAATCCGTCTCTACAAAAATTTTAAAAAAAAATTAAAAAATTAAAAAAAAATCCTTGGAATTGCAAGGTAGTTTAATCTTTTCCAATTTCATTGAGTATAATCTCTCCAAACATTGTGTACATTGTGTTTGATATAATGTTGAAAATATCATCAGTTTCTTTCTGCTTATGTACATTTTTTGTTTATTTTAGATGCACAACAAATATAACGGTTTTAAATTGGAAGATCAAAGGTTCATGGTGATTTAGATTGGACTTTGATGTTTTGAATAGGATGCAAGATGCGTTTGCGCCTCCATTTATTTTGCACCAGCCTCTCCGCACGCGCTCACGTTTTCTTTATATTATTCAAGTTTTTGGAGTTTGATGCCGTTGTTTTCAGTTTTTACTCTTTAGTTGTTTTACCTAATTTTTTGAATTTATTGAATTCCAATTCTATTTTGTTTTCCTTTTCGTTTGTTTTTCTAAGCATCTGCACTTATTCTGCAGAACAAATGAAGCACAAACAACGCTGAAATCATGCACCCACGTTCGGCAGAATTTGTGGGTTGTTCATTCTTATGTTTAGGGTTTAGGGTCAAAGCCTCAAAGATACTTTTTTGTTAGTATCTCATGTCCTTCCCTTTAGCATCTTTATGTCTTTATTTTTGCCAAAACATCCATATGGTTAATTATGAGTGTTCGTATTTTCTTTCTTTACTACCCACAGAATCTGAAGCAATGTAATAAATTTGTGCACTCTCTTCAAATATTACAAAAGTATCAGAGTTTACTAAAGGTTATTTTTCTAGCAACTCACATCTTTCCTATTCATCCATTTTCTTTTCTCATTCTTTTGCTAACCTCAGTTTGATATTCTCTTTGGATATGGGATGGAACTATCAACAAAACTGCAGCATTTCTTTTTCCTTTTTGCTAACCTTACCGCCCACGGATATTTATTACAGCGTTCATTTCTTTTCTCATTCTTTTGTTTATCACGGTGCAGTACGGGTGAGTTAATTGTTTGTTAAAACGATTATTTAAGAGAATGCATAAAAAGTCTATAGTTACTTGACCTAATAATTCTGAAATTGTGATTGTTATATTGTGTTTTCATTTTGTGTGATTTTGTTTGCTCTACTGTGGTTGCATTTGTGTCTGCAATAAAAAGGATGAAAGCAGTGCGATCAAATACGTTAAATGCCAAAGCAATGTAGAAGGAGATCTCAAATTAATTTCATAATTGTGTTTGTATCTCTTGGAATTAACAAGAGTAGTGTCTTATAATGTAAAGGTGCAATTACTGTGTGGAATCTTTCTGCAATATAATTTATATTTACTATTGTGGAGCCAAAAATAATCATAAGGCGACACGTGGATTTTTGAGTAATGAAAAGACAAAATTACCCTCAAGGCACACCGGATTTCCTACACGCGAGCAATGGACAATCATCCTTCAATCAAGTCAAAAATGCCCAAAATAGGTAACAAATTCAAAGTTATTTCATCCATCCTCATCCTATATTTTCCACAAGATAATTATTCCATAACTTTCAAAACATTCCATATAAATTGAGTTAATTGGCTAATTAATAGATTTATTCCTAATTAATCCATTAATTACCAATTAAATCACCCATTACACTCAAAAACATCCCAAAGGGCTGGCCACCTTTTCTCCAAAGGGGACCGTCCATGCTCTATATAAACTACCCTATTTTCTCTAAAAACCTAAGTCCACACTCTTGCAAAACTCCAAAAACTCTCTAAACATTTTTCTCTCTAAATTCTAACTTTGGTATCGGAGTTTCTTCGGCCAAAGCTCCCCCCCCCCCCCAATTCATCGTGGGTGCATGAGGCTTTTGGCCCTAACCAAATGTGTTAATTGTTTTGTAGGTGCAATTTTGTCCAAAATAAAGGAGGAAGAAATTTGCATCCACAACTATCTTTTCTCAAATAGTTTGTTAATCTCATGTAAATATGAAAATTAATTTTATCACTGCCTGAATATGAGAAATTTTGGACATATAAAACCAATGCATGTAGAACACATACGAAGTGTTTTTGTAGTGAAGATGTTTTTTATGCATGCACAAATGTGGAAAAGAATAGAAAAAAGAACTATGTATGCGCACGTAGCGAGAATACTCTGATATCATTTAGTCATGTAGGTAAGTTGCTGGCCATTTAGTTCACTTCTCTGCCCCCCTCTCTTTTAGCATGTAAGATGCCCTCCTGTTTGCTAATAAAGAATTAATACAAGGTTCTACTTTTATAACTATTTGAGTGGATATTTAATGCTAGGCTTGGTGTGATTGGAGGCCCAAGAACACAAAAGGTAGAAGGAGGATTAGGCTCAAACAAGTCAACAGCCCAGGAAGAAATTAAAAATTAGTTTTGCCAAGGAATAGGCAACAAGCCTATGTGAGAAGTGACACTCAGAAGGCAGCTCACCCCCAGCAAAAAAGTACTTTTCAAGGGCATCGATAGGTAAATAAACGGTGACTCACCATACTTTGAGGCCATCACCAAAAGAGGAGGTTTGGACAGTCGGGCTAGAGAGTCTATAAAAGCAGCGAAGGACACAAGGAAGAAAAACACTCAACCAATCAATCAAAAGACATCAAACTTTGCGCTCCAACAAGCAAGAAACCAAAGAGCTTTGGTTTGTCCAAACTTTATCCTTTTAGTCACAGGTCCACCATAGAAAGCCATCTTTTGTCAAGTTTTAGAAGCTCTGCTACATTTCCCCTATGTTGTAGTATCGAATCCCTCTAGTAAACCCAATTTATATTTCATTCTCCAAAGATTACAATCCCTATAAAACACGAACAGAAATGGTTGCAAGAAGATGAACATTGCCTGACAAGGTCATAATCTTGCCCGTGTCTCTTTTGTTTGTACTTACATAAAGTAGATCTATTTGTTTTATGCATCTTTCATTGTGTCTTACATTATTTTCAATTGCTTTTTGTTCAAAGTTTCATCTATGATTAATCTTGCTAAACTAATTAACCTTGTTTCTTTAGTGTTAACTGTAACCAAAGAAATAATCTGATGGTCCTGAACTCCTTTAATTGGACATGTGATATTATGAGTGAAAGTCCTTGTTTGCAAGGCAAGAAAAGAACTTTATACACACTTAACACATCTATAAACAATTCAATCAAACCAATAAATCTAAATAACTTGTGGTGCAAATAATCAATCCATTTAATAACCAAGAAAGAACACTAAAAACACTTTTAGTCACGTTAAAACACTTGTAAACGGGCGAAAAATGAAGTCAAAACAAAAAGAGAGATAAGAAACGCATAATCACATATCCTAAATTCAAAAGGGCACAAATTTCACAGCTGAAGCCCGCCAAAGAGCGGCAGACACGGCGTTTGCCAGCTGGCAAAATCCCAATGCCACCTAATAAACCATGCCACGTGTCACTCACACTCTGCCCCCAAAGTCACGCCGTAGACTGGTCGGTCGTCTTCCCCCCTTCTCACTAAACTCCGAAATGCAAAACTCCAATTTCAATTCTCACAATTACTCTCTGAATCTCTGCGAATTTATTTCTGAATCCCAGAAAATTAAATTACCCAAAAATCCAAAAAACTAAATCGGAAAATGAAGGCGGAGGCCTTGACTCTGGTGCAGTCCGCTTGCTACCCAATTGCAGAGTACCTGGCCGTGCGCCACAACCGGGCCCACGGCATCGCCCTCGGCACCTTTCTCTGGGCCACCGCTACTTTTCTCGTCGCTTTTTCATCAACTTTCACCGAGGTAATTAAATTTTGATTGAGTTGGTTCTATTTGGTATTCGTCGTCTTGGGTTTTGTTTCGTTTCTGAAATTTTATCGGTTGCCAAACAGAAAGTTAGTGGCTTTATTGGGTTGTATCTGCTGATTGGGATTTCAATTTGTGAAGTTGTCAATTTGGTTTGCCAGAAATGGTTGTTTGATTTGATTGTTGAAGATTCTACTTAGATTGCTATATATAGTAATAGTGGATTTTTCTTTTCGAAATTTGAAAATAGTAAGGAGAGTAGGTAAATGTTTGAAATTCTAGTCTGATGGAATAACCTAACCTGGAGAAAAGATTTGGGGATGTTTTGTGTCAACTTCTAGTATCTTTTTATGCTAGTCATGAATGAAGAACCGCTCGAAAAGCTTAAGGGAGTCGAAGAAAAGAAATTGAAGTATCGCGTTTTCTTGTTGCTTCGATTTCTAGCTGAATGAACGCTCTGAGGAGCTTGAAATTTGGTGGAAGCTGAATTCTTGGGTTCAGATTTGGATATACAGTGACTCTGGACATGATAAAAGTGCATTCCTCGGTAAAGTTTCTGAAAAATTAGAACGGATGTTTTCCGCTTCCTTTTAACTTCTTTTTTCGTTAAAATGATACCTAAAGTTTTACTTCCTTACTGTCTTGCATAACAGAGTTTGACAGTTTCACTTGTATCAGGTCTCTAATACGTTACTTATCAAATCAGTCAAGAACCAAAAAGATCGTGCACGAGAAATCGAGCATAAAATAAAAAGGTGAAGTGTTTGTTTTATAATTGATTCGAAAGGGGGTTATAACTGATAACTAAAGTTATCAAAACAAAAGGAGAGAAGTATCATTATGTTTAGCTTGATTCCAGCTTGTTTTATTCAGTTTGAAGTCATTCAGCTTTTATTGATCAGGTGGCTATGTCCAGAGCTTTGAATGGGATTGGCCTTGCTCTACTTACTCCAGCTATCCAGTCCCTTGTAGCTGACTCAACTGATGACAACAACCGAGGTATGGCTTTCGGATGGCTTCAATTAACTGGCAATGTTGGTTCGATAATTGGTGGCCTTTGCTCTATATTGATAGCTCCTATAACAGTTATGGGAATCCCTGGGTGGAGAATTTCCCTTCACCTTGTTGGATTTATTAGTGTTGTAGTCGGTGTTTTAGTCCGTCTGTATGCCACTGACCCACACTTTCCAGATGGTGAAACAAAAGATAGCAGCCAGAATTCTAGTAGTTCCTTGTGGTCACACGTGAAGGAACTGGCCCTAGAAGCTAAGTCGGTTATTAAAATTCCTTCCTTTCAGATCGTTGTGGCGCAGGGTGTTACTGGTTCGTTTCCTTAGTCAGCATTGTCATTTGCGCCCATGTGGTTGGAACTTACTGGCTTCTCTCATGGGAAATCCGCTTTCCTCATTGCCTTCTTTGTGATTGGAAGTTGCCTTGGTGGCTTGTTTGGAGGTAAAATGGGAGATATCCTTTCCATGCGTCTTCCAAACGCAGGAAGGATTATATAAGCACAGATAAGCTCCGCATCTGCCACCCCTCTTGCAGCAATTCTTCTGCTTGCATTACCTGCGGATCCATCTACGCTTGTCATCCATGGTTTCATCTTATTCATCATGGGATTCTTAATTTCATGGAATGCTCCAGCTACAAACAAGCCTTAAAACTTCGTAGTTCTGTCTGTCTTTAATTTCCTTACGTTTTTATGGAAAGTAAAGCAAAAACACTAACGGATGGCGTGGTCTATGCAGTCCGATTTTTGCAGAGATAGTTCCTGAGAGATCCCGAACAAATGTATATGCTTTGGACAGATCTTCCGAGTCCATACTCTCATCGTTCGCTCCTCCAGTAGTTGGGATATTAGCTCAACGCGTTTATGGTTATAAACCAGTTCCTCAAGGGTCCAGTGCATCTGAAGAGATTGCCACGGATAGAGGGAACGCTTTGTCATTGGCAAAAGCACTATATACAGCAATAGGAATTCCAATGGCTCTCTGTTGTGTCATTTACTCATTCCTATATTGCACCTACCCAAGAGACAGGGAGCGTGCACGGATGGAAGTTTTAATAGAATCAGAGATGCAACAAATAGAATTAGAAGATTCTCCTACCGGAGAAGAATATTCACGTGCTTGGTTTCCTGAATCGGAGGAGCTGTATCTGAATGATAGAACTGTCATTGAAGTATAGTATGAAGGTGAGGACACTCTTGATGCCGATGCCGATGCCGATGATGATGAACAGACACTGCTATACCGCCAGTTAACGTTTGCCATTTTGAGCCCGCTGTAATCTTACCAGAATTTCACTGAACATTCCAGCTCCATTCAAGCACATCCAAATACCATACATGTACGTAAGAATTTTATCCGTCCTGTTTTGACCTCCGGCCAGAAAACGAGCTAGAGAAAGGCAACTTTCTTACTAACCAACTGCTTGAGCTTGCCAACAGAAGAGTTCTTGCTTTCCTTGCTGGTTTTCTTGCCATTGCAACCACATGCTTTCTCGAGAGAAGCATTTGGATAAAACGGTCGTACGACCATCAATTTTGCGTACGAGATGTAACATATCGATAATGAGACGAAACACAATCATTTATGGTGAATCAGATTATCCAAATTTTGATGATATAGTTTGGTTTCATTTCTAACATCATAACATATTAATGTTTCTTTACATAGGAGAGATTGCTTGTGGCACAAGAATAATTAATTAAGTGGGTTTTGTGGCAGAGATCATCACAAAAAGCCCATACCTCACTTTTGTAAAACCAACTAGCCCACATGCTTGGCAGAGATCTTCGAATTCACTTTCTGATGTGAAGACTTGGCTGCCCGATATTTGCTTTGTTACCTACCAAACAAAAGAAAAATGGGGTAAAATCGAATCGAAAACCGGTGAGATGAAATAGAAATTATAATACCAAATCATCGGCTACATGGGGCATATTCATCAGCAGAATCCCAGAGCTGCAGCAATGAAGGTTTGGAGTACGAAAGATGTACCCGTGTTATGTTCCTTAGAAATGGGATGAGCGAAAAACGCCCGTCCAGTATGTAAGTAGATGCAACAAACACCCCACCAGGTCGCAGGACTCGACTAATTTCAGCAACCTTCAAAACCACAATTACCCAGAGAAAATACTGGTTAAAAACTAAAAACCGAGAAATGGAAAATGTTCATTAACTTGTGGTAGACAAATTAATTAGCATCAAGGACATGTAAATACTTACACCACTGTCTGTTACGATAAGATTTAGTACCCCTTACAGGTAGCTAGAACAAGCAGAGCAGTTAAGCTCTAACACCATATATAATTAACTACTTACAGCTGCTGATGGTGAAGGCCAACAATGTAGGGCGGCACCAGCATGCACAGCATCAACAGAACTTGTAGCAAAAGGAAGCCTAGATATATCAGCTCTGACCAGAATTACGTTCCTAACAAAAAAACAAACTTAATCAGGTATTTTACGATTGATAACAAAATTTCGGAAAGATCCCATAAGGAGACAGCACCAGATACGATTTGAAACTTTTAGCAGCTTTTATCATCTAAATTTGAATGAAAACATCAAGGTTCTGTACTCTTTGGGGAAGTTCTCCTCCTGCTGAATGAATCCATAGCATTCCTTCAACATGTTCTCTGAGTAGTCCAAAGCAACAACAAGAGAAAACAACCCACTCTTGGCAAAACGTCTAGAAAATAGCCCACTCCCACAACTTGCATCAATGATATTTCCACCACCCAAGACAGGCTTCAAGAAATTTTTAGTCCACTCAAACTGCAGTTAAAACTATGCCGTGGTTAACAACTCAACAACCTCCTTAGCAAGACAAATCAAATACACAGGTAAAATATGACTGTTTTTGGTATTTCAAACAACCACATTGCATATTTGGCAGCAACACAAATTATCTATCTATTTTTTCATGCCGTGATCAGAAGAGGACTATTAATTGACGGTCACTGATGGTGGAGCTTCATATTTTAAGTATAAATTTTATCCTACTTAGACCCCAAATAAAATACTTTTCTAGAAAACTGATTTTCACTTCATAATTCATGTGTAACGCAAGCAAAATGGACTAATATGGTTCCCATGAAATATCCAAAACCCCAATATTATAATAAAATATTTTTCGTCGGCACATCTCCCTTCTTTTTAAAGATTGTATGAGTTACAAGGCAACCTATCAAATACTCTATTTTGAAAAGACATCTGATAAGCCATTGAGATGAGAAAAATGTGGAATAGAAGCACTGATCAGTGATCATCTTACCTCTTTCTCTGGGCCAGGAAGACCAATCAATCCAGTAAAGCTTTGACGCCAACCCCTCTCATAGAGATACGATATCAATGGAGTCCTGATGCAACAAAAAGTCACTAGACATTATATAGAGATGCAGATCAAGTTCAACATATTCATGAGGTATAAGCAAGTAGTATTGGTAATGCTTTGAAAGTCGTAATGTGGTGGATGCAATCAATTCAACCAGGTTCATGCTCCATCTATGCAACAGAGGATAATAAGAGTCAAAGAAGATACATGATCTCGGAACATATGTACCAAATCAAGCCGTAAAAGATCAATGTAGTAAACATCAGGTGTCATTCGGCATGTTTATTCACCATCCTTGTTTAAAATTCGTTGCGAAAACATACAGATACGACATATGGGTTGTATAATTAAAAGCTATATACAATTTCAATACCTAAACATTTCCGTGATAACGGGCATTGATTCACCATAGCTCTTGGCGCCGCTTGCTGTTGTCAGGTCAATATGTGTTTCGTTGCCAAAGTAGGTCTTCTTACAAGTGCTACAATGAAAACTGGACCCAGAAGCAGACTCGCTGCAAAATCAAGTCACTCCCCAAATCAACGAAACCGAAAAGTGAATCGAAATTATACAAAGCAACCTCTTACACCGATAAGCCGGGATCACCGGAACTTGAAAATGGATCGTAGCATATCGGACAAGCTAAAATGTTGTTGCTGCTGAGGCCATCATTTTGTACCACAATTGGTTCCTATTGTTTATGAAGCAAACAATTTCAAACCTTAAATCTCAAAAATAAACATTAATTCATTCCTAAATTAAGATCGTCCGAATGATTTACTAGGACAATAAAAGCTCTAAAGTTTGCCATTTTCCTGCCGTTTCTCAGCAACCAAACAGGAAAAAAACAAAAACAAAAACAAAAAAAAACTAGAATTGGTTTTCAGTTTTCTATTCCGTGAACTGATTCGACGAATTGAATTGATGAAATAAAGCAAGAAAATAAGCTAGATGCAACGTACGGTTGGCTCGACTTCGACGGCGGCGGCGGAAGCAGCAGCTCGAACTTTGATGGCCGCCGCGAAAGAGCGCTTGAAAACCGATAAAGTAGCACAAGGCCTGAGCTTGAGAAAGCAAGACCTCGAGTTACCGAGTTGACTCAGAAGAAACGGCGAGGACAGGTTGCCGACCACCGTCGCCATGATATCTCCGTTTTGGTTTGTGGTGGTAGCTCTGAGTCTCTACTACTGACAACTTTGAATTTTTTTATTTTTTAATTTATTTATTAATTTGGTCGGAATGATAACCGCATTTGTTTTGTTTGCCCCGAATTTTGGAAAGATGATAAGCATGTGCCGACAAAAGTCCAGGATCCAGGCCCGTTAGATTGAACGGCCGGTGCAAAATCATATAAATATGATAGGGACCTAGAGAAAGAAGGTGCACGATAAGGACACGCCACAACTCTCAAACATTTGAATAATGTCAACTCTTACAAGAGAAATGACAATAATATGATGAGGGTAACACCTAACTGCCTTTTTGAAAGAGGATCATAATATAATAACCTGGGCAATAGTAATGCCAAACAAACTCATACAATAGTATGACGGGCAAGCTCAAAAGAGAGCCTCTGGAAAAAAAAACCCTAAACCCATCAACATAGTTTCTTTCTGGCGCTAGGCACATATCACCCTGAGCAATTACTCGGCATTCTGCAAATCCCAACCGACGGAGGGACCCAAACATTACTCTAACCTTGCAAGGGAACGCTCCTATGTTGTGAAAGATTGACGTTACGGTATTCATCGACATGGTCCTTTACACACTGATTTAGAACATCAAACTCCATCCTTTGGTACCCAAACACTAATTGGTTCCTATCATACCATAACCACCAAATCCCAACCGCGAACAGTGGATAAACACCTAATTATCTAATAGACCAAAGTCTTAACAATCTTCTCCCCTAAAAATAAGCTTGTTCTCAAGCTTTGAAGACATGAAAGAGTTTGAGAATGAAATATGCATCCTCCCATGTGAAATCCCGTTCCTGGATTTCACTATATAATCTACGTATTTGTACTATTGAGATTTTACATTATTTTTCGAAAATTATATTAATTTATTTGAATTTAGATTTCAATTAAACTAGTTACGAATAGTGAAGTTTGGAAAATTATTATTTACTCGTTGACCTTTCGAGGTCACAAGTAACATTTTCGAATAGATCTCGAAACCACGAACGCATAGGCCCGTTTGCGAGTCTAGATTATAACGGTATAGTTACGGACGTTTGAAGTTGTGTTACTAAACTATAGATTTTAGAAATTACTTAAACTCTCACCTTGAGGGAAAAAGCCCAAGGAGGTATTTGTTTTTGTGGCCAATTAGAAGTAAAGGTTGAAGGGAGGACCAATCAAATTAAAAAAGATGAAGGTTTCTGAAAAAAAAAAAAAAATTAGGGCTGTTGCTAACCTGTTTTGAGAGCGAATTGGACCCGCTAACCCATAAACTTGACCCGCTTGTATCTCCTTCATCCAAGTTCCGTTTTGGATGATCTTGGTGTCCATGGAAAGCTCTTGACGAGCCCTACATCTCTGTAGTGTTAGATTTCCCATTTTCTTATCCATTTTTTCCAGTTCGAGGCAGCAAAGTTTCATGGGTTTCCGGCAATTTTGTTATTTTTCCTGTGATTCCGGCAACCATTTCCTTTGAGTGAGGTACGAAACCTCATCTACTCTTCATAATCTTCAAATTGGCATGCTTAGTTTATGCTTTCCTATTCATTTTAGAGTTGGGTGTTTAGAACCCTAGAAAATCGGTTTTCTCCGATGAATTTGGACGGTTTTCGATTAGAATTTATCGTCAGCCTAGTTATGAAAAGTATTTCCCTTATTGAACTCTAGCTACCATGTAAATTTGAGCTCATTTAGTTAATGTTGAAAATTTGGGGTTTCTAAACCCTCCACCTTGGCTACCACCGCATGTGGCGGTGCGTGGGACAGTCCACGAGTGTTGTCTAAGTACCAAATACCTTCTAGTGACCCTGTGAACCTATGTCTAGTTCGGTTTCCAAAATTCAATTGTTTGGTGTGGTGATCAAATTGGACCGCCACTTGTTTGTGTGATTGACGACAATCCGACCGTTGGATCATAATGACATTTTAGCATGTTATTCTAGAAGCATAATGTGGACTTTGGGAAGTTATGGATCAAAAATCCGATGTGCGGATCTTCAGGATCGAATTACGTAGAGTTGTGGACTCTATCGTTGACTGAGAGTTGACTTGTGGTCAACATGTCTCGAAATGTTCTAAATAATAAAATTAGTACTCCGGGACTAATTGAAGTCTAGTAGACCTATATTGGTTAGATAGTGACTTGAATATATAATATATGATTATTATCTTAATTTCTTATATGGGTATCATTTGTGAATATGATTTGGTCTTATAAATATGATTTCTATTGAAATGTGATTTTTATATATATAGTCATAGACCTATGCTTATTACATATGATTTGGCTTGTGTACTGATGATGCTTGTGATATATATGTGTTTAATTATCTTTTTAATAATGTGAATGATAATTATGATGAATGTTATGACAATTATAGGATCTAATTATTGTTTGATAATTATTTAGATATGATTGCCAACTGAATACCTATTTGAACTTGGCATTACTACCTAGTATGTGATAGGGATGAAAGTCAGGAGATGAGTTAGGTACTTTATTAAATTTTTAGTAGAAATAGTAATTAGGGGAATTCCTTGTGTTGTGCTCCATATGACTAGATGCTGGTTGATATGTGGAATCGATAACGTGTATACGTATAATTGGGTATAATGTGTGATGATGAGACCGCACCATGTAGTAGTGGTACATGGATGGTCCTGCTTGGTATAGCAGCGATAGGGGACCATACGTATGCTAGGAGTGATCATGCTTGGTATATCCGCAATGCGTGATCACTACCTAGAGTTATATGATACAGTCCTGCTTGGTATATCTGCGATGAGGGACTGTTAGGGGTGCTCATGCTTGGTATATTCGCGATAGGTGATCACTGTCTGCACAATGAGATTATGCCTATGGTTATGCTTGGTATATCCGCGATAGGGGACCATACGCATTCTAGAGGTGATGATGATTAGTTGTACTTGATACATTTGATAGGCGATCATATTTAGTTTGGTTCCGTTGAGTGGTTCAGAACCCGAGGTTGTTGGATTTCATAGAGTGGTTTGAAATCCCATTATTTGGAGAAGTGGGCTTGGCCTAACTGTGTCACTCTAGCCTTAGTTTTATATATATTTGTGTCAATGGTTTCGTGAATTGAGTTAGAAAAGATGTTAGATGTCTAGGTGACTCTTTCGGGATTTTCTATGATTCGATTATGATTTCATAAGGTATGAATTTAGAAGATATAGGAATGATTGTTATTACTTTGATCAAATTAATTAATTAATGTGGCTAGAGAATGGTTTTGTGTTTCCTCAGTTTTTAAATATGATGTATGTTGTCAATTGTGATATCATGATGAGACATAATGATTTATATGTAGGATGGAAAATAAATCATGATTTCATAAGGGTTTGTTATGTAGCCTGAGCCCAGGAATTTCATGCTATCAGGTTATATTAAATGATTGAGGAATGTTATGCTTTTCTGCTTGAACTCAATGGGATAAATGTCTGATTTTGTGAATGGTGAACTACAAATGGCTTGATCCCTATTGAGGGTACGTAGGCAATCTAACAAGAAGGTTAGATGCAGCCATAAAGTATACGGAAAAAAAAAATTACTACGCAAATTTGAGGCATGAGTTGAGCTTGGCACATATCTCGGAGACGGGGTATGTTAGATATACAGGTTTTTGATGACGTCACGTGTTGGTCCTAGATGTAGGTCGGGATTAGGGCGTGACATCCCACGTAGCAATGTGTTCTGGCAATCACAACCATTTGATAAGCCAACAAATGATCACATGGTTGTTGCGTTTAAACATCCCACGTTGCAGTATTTTTTCGGTATCCAAGCAACAAGTTCGGCATCAGTCATCATCAGAAGCATTGTGAAAGGAACCACATGAGAACCTAACTTGGGTTTAAGAAGAAAGACATGGAATGTTGGGTGAATGTGATTGTGAGAGGTGGGAGGCAAATCCAACGTATAAGCTACTTTCCCCACACGAGCAAAGACTTCGTAAAGGACATAATAACTTGGTGCCAATTTGGGGCAATAGGTGTGATTGACAGAGGATTGACGATAGGGTTATAGCGTAGGAACACCCAATCTCCGACCTGGAATTCACACTCAAAGCGTTTCTTATCAGCATAGTAGCACATTCTTTCTTGAGCGATATATAGGTTCTCACGAAGCTACAGAGTAAAGCATCACAATCACAAAGGGGTAGCGACTATAAGGTGAACCAAAGATGATCATGGTAAGCACAGCGTGACTCCTGGTGGGGGTAGCCATATACAGCTTCAAAGGGAGTCATTTGGATAGCTGAATGGAAAGTGGTATTGTACCACCATCCAACCCATGGCAGCCATTCCACTCAAGACTTTGGTTTGTTTACCACAAAGTTGCATAGGTAATATTCCAAGGTGCAATTCAATGCTTCAGTTTAGCTGTCAAAGTGAGGGTGGTATGCAGAGCTTCAACACGGTTAAGAACCGTGCAATTCGAAGAAATATTCTTAGAATTGACTGATAAATATAGGATCACAGTTATGTACAATTGTGGCAGGGATACCATGAAGGCAGAACACTTATTGGAGAAAAATTTCAACAACCTTAGTAGCGGAATAAGGGTGTTTGATTGGCATGAAATGCCATACTTGGAAAGACGATACACCACAACTAATGTCACATTACGACAATGAGTAGAAGGATGACATTAGGTAAAATCTATAGTAATGTTGGTACATATTTTAGTTGGTTGGAAGTGGCTAAAGCAAGCCCGAAGGTTTAAGAGTTTCGTAATTTGTTCGCTGACAAGTATCATAGCCTGCAACAAAAAACTTAGCCTCCTTTTTTAAACCTAGCAAATTGAAATTGCGAATAACACATTTATAGGTACGAAGGAACCCATAATGCTCTACAGTTATAGAGGAATGGAATTCTACCAAAATACGATTATGCCAAGAAGATGAAGCAGCAACAAATAGTCCCTCTTTATGATATAAGACATCACCTCGGAGAGAAAAATCAGAGCAAGTAGGGGATGGTTTTGTAAAGATTGAACAATCTTAAAAACCTCTAGATTCTGTGTATATTTTGTCTAGCTCTCTAAGATACTGTC